CTGCCACTTTGCTGAAGGTGTTTATCAGCTGAAGAAGTTCTCTGGTTGAATCTTTCCCTTGTGATTAGATAAACTATCAATAGGCTCATCTCTGGAGAAGTCTGATTGTTTATCCCTCTCTCAGCAGCCATTGATTGCCTATAGCTCTTCATCTAGGAGTGTTGCCTTGTGAGATTTCTGCCATCTATGTTGGCACGTGAACTGATATCATTATGCAGGTTTTGTTTAGCAAACTATATTGTTGAGATTTCATAAATGCAGCTTCTCTGCCATGCATAGAAGAGACTTCCTCACAGCAAAAATATATCTTAATAATGTCAAGGGTAATATCAGCAATCAACCTGCTTTTCCATGAATTCACTCCTTTCTTTGTTATAGCATTCACTCTTTTCATATTAAATAATACTCAATTGGGTTTCTCTTTCCAAAGTTTGCACTCAAATCTACTCATGCAAATGAATCAGACAAGCACCTTGGCTCTGATGTCTCATTGAAGCAGCTGAGTGTGAAGAAGCAAGCTGCCACTCAAATGGCATGCCTTCCGAGTGCATGAAGAGCTTTTTCTGTATCAATTTATGGAAAATAAGAGAATTTCACTTTAATCTTCCTATTGCTATCGATACTCAGTGGTGCATACTAGGCTCCAAGGCTGTCTCATTGATAGATTAGCAGTTAGGATGCATATGTATACCATCCCGAGGAAACAAAACAAAACATGAAGATCCTTTTCTTTCTTCACATCTCTGTTATTAGTAGTGAAACACACACAGACATTTTTCCAGCATTTTCCCTAATCTGTACTCATTCAAACTGTCCATGCCAACTCTTCTAGATTCTTCTAGTCATGCAGGGAAGGAGTGAAGGAAAGAGGGGTTGGAAGTGGAAAAGGAGAAGTGGAGGAAGAATGTTACTTGTGATAAAGACTCCAAAAGGCAGAAGACTAAGCAGGAAGAAAGGCAAATAAACAAGGCAGGTCTGCCTTTCCTTGTCTGCCTCTCCTTCTGGGAGCAGACCGGCACTGTCTGACCAGGGGTCCTTTGCACCAGAGGTCTGCATTCACAGCTTTAGTGGTTGATCACTCAGGCCGGAAAGAGCTCAGCCACTTCAGCCTGGAACTTCTCTGTTTTTAATTCTTTATTTAATCCATTAATAAGATGGATGTTTTATATTCTCCTCTGACAATTCAGTTATATTACTATTTATTATACCTGTTGTGATTATGTCATAGTTGATCCTATCTGATATTCATTATATTATTTTTTACTTTAGATCATTTTTATTGATGCATATTCAAGTTCATTCATTCTTTCCCTGGCCTTTTTCAGTCTCAGTCTACTGCTGAGCAATGACCCTTCCTCCTCGCCCAATGAGCCAAAAACCTGACACTGTATTTTTTATTTTTAATACTTTCATTTTACTATTTTATAATTCCTATTCAATCCTATTGGTGTAATTCATTTCTGTTCTTGTGTGAATGCCACATTTAGGTTAAGTTTGAAACATAATAACATATCTATGATTAATATGTTAAGCTCTTATCTCTTGACAGTAAGTTTTCTTTTCCTTTGTGTTTCAATAGTTCTTGTTGTGCATTTTTGCTTTGTTTTGTTTTATTTATTTATTTTTTGTTTTTGCTTTTGAGACAGGGTCTTTTGATGATGTCTAGGTTGGCCTTAAACTCTTGATATTCCTATCTCTCGTATGTTGGAAATACAGGTGTACAACATCTGTGTTTTGTAATTATTGTGAATACTTAAATACTAGACCTTGTATAATGAAGACCTGTAGTCTTATCTACAGACTGATAAGGGTCATCCTTATTATTTAACTTCTTTAGGTATGTAGATTTTAGTATGGCTATCATATATATATATATATATATATATATATATATATATATATATATATATATATATGTATATATATATACATATGGCTAACATCTGCTTATATGTGAGTATATACCATGCATGTCTTCCTGGTTCTGGGTTACCTCACTCAGGATGATCTTTTCTAGTTCCATCTATTTGCCTGTAAATTTCATGATTTTCTTGTTTAATAGCTGAGTAATATTCCATTGTCTAAATTTACCACAATTTCTTAATTCATTCTTCAGGTGAGGGAAATGTAGGTTGTTTCCAGATTCTGCCTGTTAAGCTACTAGGAGCGTAGTTGAGTAAATGTCCTTGTTGTATGGTTGAGCATATTTCGAGAATATGCCCAGGAGGGAAATAGCTGGCTCTTGAGGTAGTGCTATTCCCAATTTTTAAAGAAAGTACTGGATTGATTCCACTTTGGTTGTACAAGTTTGCATTGGTGAGAGAGGGGTGTTAAAGTCTCCCACTACTAATGTGTGAGGATCAATGTGTGGTTTAAGTTTCATTAATGTTTCTTTTACAAATGTTGGTGTCCTTGTATATGGGGCATAGATGTTCAGAATTGAGATGTCTTCTTTGTGGAATTTTCCTTTGATGAGTATGAAGTGTCCTTCCTTTCCTCTTTTGATTTGTTTTGGCTGAAAGTCTATTTTATTAGACGTTAGAATGACTTAACCAGCTTGCTTCTTTTGGTCTATTTGCTTGGAAAACTTTTCTAGACCTTTACTCTCAGGTAATGTCTATCTTTGTGACTGAGTTGTGTTTCTTGTATGCAGCAGAATGATGGGTTCTGTTCGCACATCCATTCTGTTAGTCTGTGTATTTTTATTGGAGAGTTGAGTCCATTGATGCCGAAGATATTAATGACCAGTTCTTTCTTTCTTTCTTTCTTTCTTTCTTTCTTTCTTTCTTTCTTTC